TCCTTTTTTTTTTTTTTTTTTTTCTTCTTGACAAGAATTGTATTTATTTGTTTCTACATTAATTTGAATATTGAATATGAAATTATTGCAGTATAAAAAATATATTTGAGAACTTTAATGTTAGGTGTGATTAATCGCAATTAATTTCAGAAAAAAATTGTGATTTAGTTATGTAATCGATTGAAATTACTTATATATATAAAATATGTATATACTTATGTACGCCCGCACAATCTTCTATAAGATCAACACCATGGATCCGCTCAACCCAGAGGCTGCAGTGCTGTGAGTAATAGATTAAATTTTTTTTATTTTATTTAAATAGTCTTCCTAGCACATACACTAAACGGTGACAGTCACTAAATAAGTGTCTAAATAAAAGTCACTGAAGTTGCTTTTGCTTCAGAGAAATGAAGTAACCACAATATCTCTCTCATGTGCTTAGGCATTGCCTGTGTTATTCTGAGGTTTTTGACTTCCTGTGCAGTTGAAGTCATGTAGCGCTTACAGGCTTAGTCCAATCTCACACCGTGTCTACACGACACGAATGGTGCGACCAAACAAAATACTATAGAACCCATTATAATCAGTGATGCTGTCTACAATGGATGTGGCGCAACAACAAATCCCCGAGAGTAAACTGATGCCTCGTTCTATTTATGACGCATTGACACAAAATTTAAATTATTTGCAACAGTCGATTTGTTGCGTCCAGTGGAGACGGCCTCAAGCTGTTGCGGCGCGACACGACAACTGTTTCATCCGGTGTAGACATGGTGTCAGTCTTGACTTCACACAACAAGATGAAAGCTTGTTTAGCCTTTTTCCCCCACATTTATTTCCTCTTAGTAGGGCTGCACGATTAATAGAAATTAATTTGCAAAGGCAATAAATCGTGATTAGGCAGAAGCTGCGATTGTCATGCGTATCTTTCAGTGAAGCACGGTTCTATGATCAGCAGTACATCTCCATCCGAAGGCCAGAGGGCGCTCTCGCGCTGAAACTCCAAATACGCCTCGCAGAAGAAACCCAGGAAATGCCTATAGCGGTTGCTGAATAAACAGAAGATCTAACTGCTTTGATTAATTCAACGTGACTAATAAACACACGACTACGACAATATATGCTTTATCTGAATTTGTCTTATTATAATTTTTATTTTAATAAAGTAGGGCTGGGCAAAATCGAATGCGATTTTCATGCGAATCTCGTCAGTAAAGCCGCTTTTGGTGATTGGTAGTAAGTCTCCAGCACGTGCGTTCAGATGGAGCAGCATTTACTACACCGAGCTGTAGATCACTAACAAGCTGCACAAAATCGCGTTCAAAATCGCAGGCGATTCATTGCCGATTATGAACGCGATTTTGTGTAGCTTGTCGGTGAACTACGGCTCTGTGTAGTAAATGCTGCTCCATATGAAAGCACGTGCTGGGGATTTACTACTAATCACAGGAGCGGCTTTACTGACGAGATACGCATGACAATCACATTTGATTAATTTTGCAGCCCTACCTCTTAGCTGTGCCTTCTAGTAGTTAAGAGCTTGTTTTGAAATCCTGTACGCTCGACTGTTTTTTGCTTTCTAATATAAATGCTTTCTGTGCAGGTATGACAAAGACATCCAGCTCTTCAAAAGCAAAGTGGTAGACAGTGTCAAGCTATGCAATAGTCACCTGTTTGATCAGCCCAAGATAGATGACCCTTACGCAATAAGGCAAGTACAGCACTCAGATGTTGTATTGTGGAGTTTTCCTCCACAATTGTGATCTCTTAAGGCTTTTTAACACTGAACGTGAAAATTCGGTGCGATGACGCTTTTGAGTCAAAACAATAGATCCCTATGGGGCTATTCACACCAGGCGCGATCATTCGTGGTGCGAAAAAGCGATAATTTTTATTTATTTTTTTCTCTTCCCCAAATTCATCGGCGATTCGCCTTGCTTTTTCACTTTGCGCTTGGTATGAAACGGCCTTTAGGCTGCGTTTACACTGGTACTAAAAAAATCTGACCTCGCGTCTGCCACAGATTGTACACTGCAAACAATCTTTTTTTTTTTTTTTTTTTTTTTTTTCGTGGTTTTAAATCATATACTTATGATATCTGATCTACATCCAAGTTCGAACTCCAAGTCACCACAAGGTGTGAGAGATGCATTTACCCTCAAAGATATGTGTTTGTTTGTTTGTTTTTTTCTCGTATTATAGATTTGGCTGTGTGATGCTTCGGTGTAAGCAGACGTGCATGCTTGCACAAACTCACAGCTTCTTTTAAAATGGAAACTTTATATATAGGTAAGAGATTGTGCACATTCGGGAGCATACAAACTTGTTTTGACCCAATGCCCCATGAATATTATAAATAAAATTATCTTTGCAAGCTAAATTTAATTTTTCAGCAATGAGGTGATAACATTTACGTTTTTGGACGTAAACACAGACCACGGGTAATTCACACAATAATTCACAATCTCTTACTCCAATTCATGTAAATAAATTACTTCAGAATTATAGATCTAACAACCCACAGATGAAATGATTAACAAAAACAACAGTTATTTTATCTGTTCAGTCAGATTTTGTGCTACACATAAATGACCGCTTCAATTTGTCAATGCTGGAAAGTGAACATGGTGTAAGCAGGGTTAATCGCATCTGTTGTGCGTTCAATGCGAGTTATGTAAAAAAAAATGTATGTACAGCTATTCAGAAGTCGAGAGTCAGCAGTAGGAATCTTTCAGTGTAATCATTCTAGTTTGGGCGGTGATAAATGTAAACGCTGATTTAGGATAGAAGTCATGTTTGTGTGAATGTAAACCGGCAGGACAAAAATCGGACATAGGCAAAAGATTGGATTTGTGCATTAAGCCTTTGTGTAAATGTAGCCTTACTTTTTTGAAACTTGGATTATTCATGAAAATGAAACCAGGAGTTTTAGTTCAGTGGGGTTAAAAGTTCGGCGTTGAGTCATCAGACTGGACTTCGGCTCATTTGTTTTTCCGCATCTGATGTTTGTGTTTTCTCACTGCAGCTTCTCTCCGTGGAATCCAGTGGTGCATGAAGAGGCAAAAGAGAAGATGTTTGCACATAAAGTGAGTGTGTGACGCTCCCCTGACTGCTCCCCACAACCAAGTAAAAACTGGCTTCTTCTTGGTATCTGATGCATGCCTCATTTTAAATCATGAGCTTTTTTGTGTGGAACACAGTTTCTTTTCCTTTCCTATTACCTGTTGTCTTTTTCTAGTCTATATGCTTGTGGGTTGGCTAAAATGTACATTATTGTGAGGATATTAATTACACCCTTGGTGCTTGTGACCAATGGTGTTCTCTTGTTGTTGTTGTTGTTGTTGTTGTTGTTATTGTTGTTGTAGCGATGGCCAGAGGATTATAACAAAGGACTGCCGGTGTCTGGGCTGTCTTGGGTGAAGCCTGGTTCCACTCAGCCTTTCAGCAAAGAGGACAACCCCCTTCAGACGTGAACCTTCAGCGCTGTCTGTCCACCAGGAGGGGCGCTACGCTACTGTGGCTGCACCGAACAACATATATATAGAATTCTGATGCAGTTCTATGAACTTTATCTTCATTCGCAAAACCCTCGCTCGGCTTTAAAGGAAAACTGCTATAATGGCTTAAGAATTATAGACATGTTCCCAGTATAGATGTAAAGACCCCACTCGTTCATTTCAGTGCTGAGGCTTGAACGCACAGAGGTTGTTCTAGTCAGTACTGTTACTTGCACATGTTAATGTTTTCAGGCACAACAAACCACCTCACTTATTTGTGTAGGTCATGCTCTTCTAATTGACAAACTTGGTTTTCTCACTAATAATTTGATGTATTTAATACATTTTCCCTTTATTTTCCTTTCCCTAAAAACTTGGTTAATGAGTTTTATTTCAAACATACATTTGCAGTCTGGGACAGAGTGCCGTTTTTTTTTTTTTTTGTCTTGATATATTTGGGTTGAGATTTTTGTTTTGTTGTTTTGTGTAAAATCCTGTGTATGATATGGTTTTAATGTAAAATACAGCAAGAGTAATACTATTCATTAAGACATGGGCAACTTTTTTGCTAAATGTTGCTTGGGCACTTTCCCATTGAGAATGGGTAACAAATTTTTATCTGGATACTTCAGATCGGTCGTGGGCTTTGTGTCTCACCTGGTTGCCCGTTGACGGCCCGGCAACATTGCTCAAAAAGTTGCCCTGTGTATCATCAGCCTAAGTTAATCCTTGTTGTTCAGTGATGTAATTCAGTTTTATTCTATTCTAACGGTTTAATCTAAATGGGTTTGATGTGTAAATAGTGGAGCGGTTCAATGAAATGAATGACCTCTATAGAGTCCATGGCTCTCATTTATTTATCTAGGAATTTACCATGGTTTAAATTTTAGAAATTTTGCTGTTTTACAATAAAAAAAAAAATTTAAGTTTATTTTGGGTGGTCTCAGTAGGAATACTGATATGAGCTCAGCTGTGTATGTAATGTATTTTTTTTTTAAACTGTTATAAGCAAATAAATGCGTAAACAATGAAACTGGTCAGATTTTGTGTTTAGTGAAAGTAAATTTCAGTGATTCTGATATTTGCAGTTTTATATATATATATAGAGAGAGAGAGGGAGAGAGAGATTTGCTGTGGAACCTAAAAATAAATTGGTGCTAGATAAAACAAGTCATTTTGGTTATTGATTATACGTTTTCTATTTGACATGCTCCAGTTTCTGCTGGATTTGTCATGTCAGTGTTTACACGAAGCAGTTCGCAAAAGATCCACCAGAGGTGATCAAATATCAGAGACACCGACTGCAACTGTTCCCCACTGCTCCACTTCTCTCCTCCCACTCATTCCACTCCCATAGGCTGATTCACAGTCAATGTAAAGCCCTCGCTGATTGGCTGACGTCTCGGAACGGCCATCTTGTTTGTTGATCGTTCTAACTTCACGTTTTGCGTACAATGCTCTTATGTTCCAGATTACCAGTAACATTTTAAGTACACGATATGGATCTTTGCTAACACTCAACTTGAGGACTCAGACGGGTGTCCCAGTTATTCCAAACAAACGAATTCAACTTCGACCAATCACAGAGAACTTAACACGTATGCAAATGTACGTTTATCATCATCCTACGTCAGCAGCCCTGGAACCGCTGAGGTCGCCCAGCCGCGATACTAACAACGCCAAAAACTTCGCTATTTTATCTCTCCGTAAATGATCGCGCTGTCGCCGCAGGATTTGGCTTCGTTTGGGTAAGTTCGTTTGTTTGTTTCCTCTCCTAGTCTAAAGATAATGTAGAAGGTTACAGAGTGCGACAGTGCTGAAACTCAGGTGGCTGTCAGTCCTGATGAAAGCGAGAGAGAGAGACTGAAGGGAATCCTAGTCTGTATGAAGCACTCGTAGCACCTGAACTCAGGTAGACTGTCACGATGTGAGCTCCACGTGAAAGGCACGACATGGACAGCACTGTGTTTTCAGCCAACGGAGGTTCTGAACTAACAGCGACCGAGCGCACCTCAGAAAGTAGAGCAGATCGCTGTCTCCGGAGGAACGTAACAGGAAAATAACAGTTTGTATTTCAAGGATTATCATGTCCCTTCGCTGTCGAGACAAAGTATGAAGAGGACACACGTTTAAAGTTGGAAAGGCTGTTGGAAACGCTGTGAAGCGAGCGTCCCCGGTGATGTTCTGGAAGGTACAGTGATTTCAACTACACTGGAGTCTAGTTTCGTTCTTGTAATTCGTAAAGACAGAGGTAGCATTACAGGCTTGACCACTGGAAGATGCTATTAAGTAATATTAAGTCATAAAAAAGGGAAAGAGGCCACAGTAGATTTTTAAAGAGATTATGAACGGTATGGGTAGGCAACAGGTCCAAAATAGAAAAAAGGAATAAAAAATAGAATAAAATTATACAATATGTATATTTTTTATTATTCAGAATCATCCTAGTTGACACACAACTTCCTCTGATTGAAGAATCATCTATATGTATTTGTTATGAATGTTACCATGTTCTTGTAGGCCTACACCCAACAGGTTCTCTTCAGAAACACATGGCATCTATATTTCATATTGTTAGTTTCAGCTCTGTTACATACAGATCTATATGACATATGACTGTGTGCAAATTAGTACTGCCCTGAGTTTCAAACCAGAGACTTCACTACTATAGGCTGAGTTAGTAAAATCTGGCCACAGGAAAGATGCTGGGACTCCAGAGAGATTTGCTTGAGTTTAGCCTCCAATATGTTCAGATGGATCTCCTTTAATGCACTGAAAGGGGCTGTTCGCACAGACCATGCACTACAACATCTAAGTAACATTTATGACACAGAATGTCAACTGCAGTGCCTGTGATGTCTGTCTAGTGCTGTTAACATAGAAAAACTATATAAAAAAAAAACCAGATGGACACAAGAAAGCATCCTGTGTGAATGACCCCTAAGTTACTTTGGTTAAAAATGTCTGCCCATAAGTGCACTGCTTGCATAAAAGGGAACATTCAACACTGAATTATATGTTTATGGATGGAGTGTTTGTTGTTGTTGTAATATAGGGCAAGGCATGATGCACAGTAAACAGAGAGTCAACCAATAAATAAAAAAACAATAAATACCTCGACACCCATGTCCATCGGAAGTGCTTTTGAACTTACATCAGGAAGCAAAATGTCGTTCAGTGATGAGTCAATGGAAGCTGCAGGACAGGATAATTTGAGCCCTCATACATTTTCCTCTGCTTGAAAAAAATAATCTCTGAGCATAATGAGTCATTATGATAATTGAAGTACATAATTTTCCATTAGATCAAGAGAAAATCTTGTTCATCCAGCTTTACATTAATTAATTTTATACATCAACTAAGAATTGTAACTGGTGCGTTGTCAGTGGTTGGTACAGAAAGAATGTGTTTATTTCACGTATTTTCGGACTCTTTTTATTATCGTGTTATGCCCTGTGCCTTTATGCTTCTCTTGTAAGGAGTGGCTTTCGTCATTCCTCAGTGGAAGCAGGTTCATTATTTGTCCACCGTTATGTAAAATCTTTAATGTATCTTTAATGCATACACCTTTGTTTAGAAATATGCTAAGAATAGATACAGGTTTGTTGAATATAATATAAGGACCACGCTCATCTTGAATTGCATCTGCAAGACCTGAATGGCTATGAACTGTAATTGGCAGTATAAATTTGTTTTGCATGCGGATCAAGCTTAGTGCTTTATGAAAGTTATTCTAAGACTAGATATGTCTTCATGCTGGAAGATCTAAGTCTTATTGTTGGGGATGGGTTGTTTCTTTGACTTTTTCATTAGGGATGCACAGTAAATCGGTAACATGTCAGTTATCAGGCAACATTTAAAAAAAATTAGCCAATTTTGGGGTATTTAATGGACCCTTTTCACATACTGTAACAACGTGATTCAAAGTTATTAATATCATACATTATCGTAAAATGTTTTTTTTTTTTAATATTTGTATTTTAAGAATTTATAGTTTGTGTTATATTACGGTGACATTAAATAAAAAAATACGTCTTTCTCTCTTCTGACTGCCGTAATCAATACAGTGTAAATGCTTTTATGAAATTTGTATTTATTTATTTATTCAGTTTTACTGTTGGAGCAAATGTGAACGCAAAAAATATTATTGCTACAGTCCCCCATTCACCACTATAGAAGTTTACCAAACTATGATGACTGTTTGTTGACTGAAATGTGGAAAAGGGTCCTTTGCCGTCATTGAACATGTACTTTAACTTAATCTTCAAAAAACACTATTTAATTAACACTAATTTATTACCACTGGTAAATGTAATCTTCGGCAATTTTCATAATGAAAATCCATTTTTCATACTATATGTTATATGATGCTTAAATTCACTTGTAGCATTTAAAACAATGTTAGTTTTTAGTGTTTTGGTTTTAATTCATTTTAAAAAATAGTACAGAATTGTAATAATGTAATTCATCATTTGTCAGCCATAGCACAAAATGAATAAATAAAAAAATTAGCAGCTTAATCATCATATCAGTCAGAAATTTTAATGAACAGACATGAACAGTTCTTACAGAGATCAATCCCTCCTCATGGCGCAAGAAGTTGCATAACTAGACAAGAAAGCTGTATCTTCCTTCTGTTGTTCCACTTTTGATGTGGAAGTCGTTGAAATTTCACTCGCCACCTGTTGTGTTGGGTAAAGCATGGCTGTGCTGTGGGAAAATTAATCACTAAAAAAAGAGGTTACTTGATATGGGTGGTCCAGGATCAGCTTCAGTCGTCCAGAAAAAACCCTGACCATAGTCATAGGACAGCTCCGAAACTGGTCTCGGGTCTCTGGCACCTGGCACCTCTACCTGCTCTTTAGATGAGTCACAATCTAGCATATATGACTTGGCTTCTGTCACAGGGCAGTTTCACAAAGGAAATGCGTTGACGTGTGCAGTCCAAGACCAGCAGGACTGCCTCATCTTGTTGAAGTCATGCACTCTCACTGGCACGAGAAAAGCCAGTGGATTAGATTTGTGAAATGCATTGAATCACATCATTGCCTCATATTAGTGACTCTTTCATTTACCAGAGATGTAAGGCATATTGCAGAAATGTAGATCGAATTGGATATTGTAGGTTACTCTGTGAAAGAGACTTGTGTAAGATATAATCTTTGAAGAGTGTGTGTTGGGGGAGGGGTCACAGTGTTTTTCAGTAGTAGGAAGTTGCACGTGTTTTTGCTTGTATAGATAGTGCATGGCTAATGGCCTTAGATGGCAGGGCTCTTATCAGCGTTTCTCTCAGCTGTGGACTGATGCAGTTTCTGGCCTCTCTTCTCAAGAGAAATGTTTCTGGCCTGATGCTTATCCTTGGAAGCCAGTCGATATAAATCAGTCCTCACAGCCAAAGAGGCTGATCAAAACTGGTAGGCAATCTGGGCTTTGAAGGTTGGCAATGAGTGTTTACATAAATCTGTTTTGGGTCTGTTGTGTGCCACAATGTTTCATAAGAACCACCGGTGATCCATTGCTACAGCAGTAGGGCTGC